CTTACCCTCCCTCTTCTCCTGCCTCCTCCTGGCTGAATGAGGGCCGGAAGCGGGGTGGCCGGAAGCAGGGGGCGGGGCTTCATCATGAGCACCCGCCCCCTGTACCTCACCCGGGGGAACTGCGATCCCCCGCGATCCCCCCGAAATGACCTCTGAGTGTGATGTGATTGCTAAAAAAGCAAATGCGATTTTGGGCTGTATCAACAGAAGTATAGTGTCTAGATCATGAGATATGATGGTACAACTTTGCTCTACTCTGGTTAGACCTCACCTCGAGTATTGTGTTCCGTTTTGGGCACAATTTAAGAAGGATATAAGCAAGCTGAAACACGTCCAGAGGAGAGCAACAAAGATGGTGAGGGGTCTGGAGACCAAGTCCTACGAGGAAAGGTTGAAGGAGCTGGGTATGTTTAGCCTGGAGAGGAAACAACTGAGAGGTGATATGATAACCATCTTCAAGTACTTAAAGGGCTGTCATCTACAAGATAGTGTGGAGTTGTTTTCTGTTGTCCCAGAAGGTTGGACCAGAACCAACAGGTTGAAATTAAATCAGAAGAGTTTTCGGCTAAACATTAGGAAGAACTTCCTGACAGTTAGAGCGGTTCCTCAGTGGAACAGGCTTCCTTGGAAGTAGTAGGCTCTCCTTCTTTGAAGGTTTTCAAACAGAGGCTAGATGGCCATCTTCCAGCAATGAGGATTCTGTGAACTTAGGGAGATCATGAGAGGGAGGGCAGGAAGGGTTGCCTCAGTGCTTAGTTCTTGTGGCCCTTTTTTACACGCCCAGAGAAATGCTGATTGCCACTTTGGGGTCAGGAAGCAATCCTGGAGATTTTTTGTCATCTTCTGGGCGTGGAACAGTGGTCACTGCAGATGTGGATTTGTGAATTTCCTGCATTGTGCAGGTGGTTGGACTAGATAACCCTGGAGGCCCCTTCCAACTCTATGATTCTATAAGTGCAGTGTGTGTGTGCATATGTGTGCTCACGGATGCTGATGATACTCCTCTCAAATTTAAGACACTGGGGGGGGGACAAAAGTGGCAGATCATTTATAAACAATACTGACCAAGTCCTTTAGAGAATGACCAAATGCAGAACACAATAGCTATGCTGGTGCAGTGACTTGAGGGGACTATTCGGATAATGGAAAAGAGTTGTAAGCTCAATGTATAATAAAGTATAATACAATTAAATCAAAACATTAGCATGCCTTATGAATTAGGCAGGTACTTAATGTGGCAAAGGAAATAAGGGGATGAAGACATCATGCAGTAGTACGAGAGGTACCACAGTAGTATGAGACATACTGTTCTGTCACAGGCAAGAATCTATCAAAGAGGCTACAATCTAAAGAACTTTATTTCTCCCTTCTTAGGGATTTCCAAGGGTTAGGCCATTTCTCACTTCTACCCTATTACCACCTCTTCTGTAAGTAGCAGCAGTTAGCTGCTGCCAAGAAAGCAAAACAAACCAGTTCTACTTTATTTCGCTTGGGGGGGGCAGCTATCTGTCTCCAGCTACTTTGGCTTTGCTTGAAACTGAAATGTGAGCAGAGCTTTTCAAGTACAACCTGCTGAGCATAACTGTAAAGCCTTGTGGCTATCTCTAGAGGGGAAGAGTTTGTCCAAAACAGTGACCTGAAGTCTGTATGAAACTATTGTGAGGACTGGTCCCTTACCACTCCCCCCCCCATCTCTGTCAACACCTCATCTAAATTCTTTCTCCCAGGCATGAAATGACTGCAAGGGACTACACTTTATCCCACCCTTCTCCAAGGAACTCAGAGTGCACTGGAATTCCTCTTTCTATTTTGTACTGTCAACTATTTCATGAGATCATTTTTGTTGATATACAGCAAGTGACCAAAATGAGCCTAGCTTCATGATTGAGGAGTACAGTTGCCACCACAGGACTGACAACTGGTGGGAACTTGGGGGAGGGAATGGGAGAGGGCAATGCATGCACCATGATGTCACAACTGAAAGCAATGACCTGTTGCTCTAGGAATCCCTGGAAACCCTATGATAGAATCACAGAGTTGCAAGTAATTCTTAGAGCAATAGGACATCATGCTGCATGCAACACCAGAGTTTTTTCTTCTCCTACTGTTGCTTAGAGTAGCGGCAGGCCACAAGAGCAGCCAGCAGGAGGCCTCCAAACATAGTGGGAGACCTGGCAAGCCTATGAGGCATCCAGACAGCTAGTTTCCAGTCTCTCAAGCTCCCAAACAGCAGTTTCTTAATATAATTTTTTTTAATTATGATTTTTTTTTTAAATCTATTATCAGTGAGAAACTTCCTTGGGAAAGTGCCCTTAAGACCATACTGAAGATACATTGTGCAGTCTCTGCTCCAGAGTGTTTGTATGCAGAAATACGCCAAAGAAGCAAGAATTCACTACTCTCCAGAGGTCATTTCGGGGGGGATTGCGGGGGATCGCAGTTTTCCTGGGTGAGGTACGAGGGGCGGGGCACCTGCTTCCGGCCGCCCCGCTTCCGGCCCTCATTCAGCCAGGAGGAGGCAGGAGAAGAGGGAGGGTAAGTTGCTTCCTCCCTGCCTCTCCCCACCCCTGCCTGCCTGGGGCCGGGGAGGGCCTTTGCGGGGCTTCCTTGTACTCCCGTCAGCCTTGCAGGTTCACCGCCGGGCCCCTCATATGACACACTTCCGGTGATGTCAGGGGGTGTGGCATATGCTAATGAGTTATGCTAATGAGTTCCCTTAGCTCTTTTTCTACGAAATGACCCCTGCTAGTCTCAGATACCTAGCTCCTCAAAGCAGCCAATATTCCATCCATTTATTTTTTCCATTCCTTGACATTACACTTCTGGAAAGCCAAAAGTGCTGAAATGATAAAATTATAAGGGCTTGCCTATACAAGAGGCAGCCAGAACTGAGTTTTGTATACAATTGCTTTTCCTAGCAAGTATTCTTACAGGTAAAACCAGTCACCACAGGGTACATCTGCATCACAAAAAGACAGTGTGGTTGGGAGTGTCGAACTAGGATCTAGGAGACCCAGCTTTGAATCCCTGCTCTGTCATGGAACTTCGCTGGGTGACCTTGGGCCACTCACAAATTCTTAGTCTAGCCTAGTGTGGGGATAAAAGGCAGAAAGAGAGCTATAAATGCCACCCAGAACTCCTTGGAAGAATGTTATATTTTTATTCCACCAGACAGATATTGTTGACGTTTGCAACACATGAAAATTCTTTGTGCCAACATCTCAAACTGCTAGTAGCATCTGCTGTCCTATGGGAAGTAAAATGAGTGACAGCTGCTATATGACAAAGGGACTAAGCCAGAACTAAGAGATGATTTTAAGAGGCCCTTTGTGTGAACCAGTGTGTGTAGTGGTTAGAGTGTCAAAACAGGACCTGGGAGACCTAGGTTCAATCCCCACGAAGCCATGAAAAGCTTGCTGGGTGGCCTTGGGCCAGTCTCTCAGCTTGACCTACCTCACAAAGCACTTGTGAGGATAAAACTGGGGAGAAAAGAACTCTGGAAGTTGCTATGGGTCCCCAATTAGGGCATAAATTCAGTAAATAAAGTAATGCATGAAGTCCATTCAAATTTTCAGCAAAGAAACTTAGTTCTTCCAATTGCAAAGTTTACTCATACAGGGAGAGTTCAGACTAGTCTAGCTTTTTTTATCCAGTTGCAAGGCTAACCCAGCCCTGATCTGGATGGCCCAGGCTAGCCCACTCTAGTCAGATCTCAGAAGCTAAGCAGGGTTGGCCCTGGTTAGTCCTTGGATGGGAGACTACCAAGGAAGTCCAAGGTCACTACACAGAAGCAGGCAATGGCAAACCAGCTCTGAACATCTCTTGCCTCAAAAACCCTACAGGGTCATCATGTCGGCTGCAACCTGATGGCACTTTCCACCAACACCAAAGCTCATGAAGGGTACTTCATTAGCATGCTTTTGACTTACGGATGCAATCTAACATGGAATTTTAAATATGAGTTTCCAAGTGAAAAAATCTCATGCAGAAAATTTTAATCTTTTTTCAAGAAAAGAACTCTGAACGTCAGAAGGGGATTTTTGTTTCTAATGAACACAGCCCCTGAAGAACTCTTCATATACTCGAGATAATTAATGTATAATTATGTGAATAAATAGTGTTTGGCAAAAAAAAGTTCCTGTATTGAGACATCTATGCTTTCCTCATCTTGAGTTAAACTATAAAAGAATTCCATACAACAGGTATGTGTTCTAGCTTACCATTTCGAGACAAATCAAGTTCCACGAGCTGCATGAAGTTTGCTATCTCTGGAGGAAGTCGCTGAATTTCATTATCACTGAGCCCAAGCTTTCGTAATTTTACAAGCTGAAAAAAAGGCTGAAAAAGAAAATAATTCTGCATTAAGTAAGTGGTAATTTGGTCTTGATTGTATTGCCATTGTTTTAGCTAGTTAGTTTATTTCAGCTCATATGACAATGGTCTCAAGCACATCCACAACAAGCAACATACATATAAAATACCAAAGTGAGAGTTCAAAACTATACATTCAAATCCAGTTAAAAATATGAGCCGTATTAAAAATTTGAAATATAAAACAAAACCAAAAATGTAAACTTTATCTTAGTAGCAATTATTTACGCTTCAATGCTATTAAAATAGCTAAATATTTTGCTACTGAAGCGGTAATTATCAGATCGATGTCTGACAGCAGATAAGAGGTCACCCATGGCTTCAGTGGAAGGTGGTATTTGGACAGAAGTGGATATATCCAATATGACCTAAGAGCTAACCAATGAGAACAAAACAAAAGAAGATGTGTCAACGTCTCAATCTTGCCAGAAGTACAGGTACAAAGCCTATCTGAAAACGGAGTTCGTGAAAAGCATCCCATTAATTCTGCAGACGGTACAGCGTTTAATCTAGCAAGAGTAAAAGCAAATCTTTTGCTTTTGAGAGGGGGTGGTAAGGTGGCTTAGATATAATGGGTCAATGAAGGAGGGATCCCCAAAGCTAGGGGAGAACATACCTGCTTGGCAGGTGCGGCGGTACTGGCCCTATCCCAGTTTCCTGCCTTCAATCTGATCTGTCTCCATGCTTCTTGCTGAGATAAAGTCTTGATCGTTGATATCGGGAGGCCGAGGAGGTTCAATTTCTCATCTATTTGATTTGACCAGGTTGTTCTATAATTATCCTCCTTCAGTCTATATATCAAACTCCCTGACGATGGACTAGAAAAACAAACCTTTAGCCTTAGTCTGAAAGCAGCCAACCAAGCTCTAAGTTCTAGGGAACTTTGTGCTAGTTCCCACCTAAGAACAGCTCCCGCCATGCACTTAGGTACTCCCAAAATTTGATGCAGGAATTGAGTTAATAATTTATCTAATGATTCAGAAGCTGCACAGATCCAAATGGCTGCCCCAAATAGGAATAGCTCCCACCACCACGACTGTTGAGATGGCAGTCATCGGGCGGATTTTTAGCCCGCCCCCTCCTGGGAGCAGCTGCCGCACGAGAGAGGACACAGCGGCTGCAATGGTGAGGGAGTACCTTTTGGAGCCCTACAAGTCACAGGCAACCTGTCCACTGATCTACGGGGCCATGAAGGAGGCGGTCTGGCCGGACCTCTCTAAAGTGGTCCAGAAGCTCCTCACATGCACTCCAATGAGCGTGCAAAGTGAGCACGTTTTTTCCCATGTGGGCGACATTTTCTGCTCGCATCGTTCACACCTGCTCCCCTGGACAGTTGAGCAGTTGGTCTTTCTGAAGGTCAACCTGCCAGTATTCAGTTTCCCGGTCCTAAACTTTAAGGGTGATTGAAGTGAGCATGCATACTTGTGCCTGCCATCCCCTCTCGGTCTGTGTTGGGAAGTTGGGTTACACAACGCTCTTC